AGCCGCCTCTACTTTCCATCAGGTAAAGGTTCCCTTCTACCAGCCCAGTGCAGCCAGTGCCTGCTTCCCTCTCCCTGTGTTCGACTTTGGGAGCTGATATTGGAAACAACTACCCCTCCCTCTGGGCCGGGGAGCTCCCCTAATGATCTCTGTCTCCTCCCCAGCTCGGACTCGCTCCTGTCCCATGTGGAGCAGTTGCTCCGTGCCTTCATCCTGAAGATTAGCGTGTGTGATGCCGTGCTCGACAATAACCCCCCAGGTAGGACTGAAAGCCTTCTCTTCTACAGGGAGGGCTCTAACTGCTGTTCCAGTGATACTCACTGGCTGATTTTACATAACCCTCTTTGCGTAAGGGGTGGTAAAATGTCTCTCTAGTGTGTTTGTCCAGGAGAGAGTTTGTTTTGCACAGCTGGGCTCACTGCCTCTCAGACAGGCAGAAATGGAGATTTAAAGAAAAGGTACAGGGGATTTAATCCCCCAAAAATCACAGGGCATGGTGCATATTAGACACATGCAGCATCACTGAAATGCAACCAGCTCTGGGGTGGAAGGCAGCAGCCAACAGGCAAAGAGCATCCCGCTGAAAAGGTGAGGGTAGAAATAAAATTTTGATCACGAGCACTGGAGCAAAATCCGAATCCTATAAAAGGTGCCCTGGGCCAGTTGCATCGGGGGCCTGGAGATGGCAAGAGGTTTACAGGAGAGGGGAAGGTGGAGACCATGGAGGAGTCCATGGTTTCTGGTGCTAAGGAGAGCGCTAGCAAAGTCAGAGAGAGCAGAAAATGACAGGTTACTTTCCCAGTCCCTTTTGGAAAGGAACATGTCTTGGTATTTACCTAGCTGTGGATGATCCCTGTTACCTCCCAGGCCTCTGGCCATCGGATTACAGTGCCTTCCTCTCATCCCTGCCCCATCCCTTCTAGGCTGCACCTTCACTGTCCTGGTTCATACACGGGAGGCTGCCACACGGAACATGGAGAAGATCCAGGTGATAAAGGTAGGTGATGCCTCTGTCTGCTTGTTGATTGCGGTGAGCTGCATGGTAAAGAACGATGGACGTGAATTAAGGTGCTGCAGCTTTGGATTCTCCTTTCATCCGGGGGACTGTATTATCGTTCCCTGGAAGGGCTGGGCCAAGCAATTCCTGAGGTCTCGAAGAGCTCTCCCAAGACCTCCCCTTAACAAGGAAGGGGTGAAGTTTTGCACTTGGAACATACATGCAGTGTTGCAGGTGTCTGGCCCTTTGAGGGGCATTGGGCCCAGCCCCGCCTGCAACTGATGAGGTGATTATAAAAGCTAACAAGTAGCCCAGTTGGGAGAGCTGCAGAGAGCAGGAAGGCTCCTGTTGGAGACCCTTGGACTAGGGTTATAGGAAGTAGGTTGGCTCCTGAGGTGGGACCTAGAGCAGGGGGTTCTCAAACTTCATTGCACTGCGACCCCCTTCTGACAACAAAAATTACTACATGGCCCCAGTAGGGGGGACCGAACCCTGAGCCTGCCCCATCCCTGCCACCCTGGATTTGGGGGCCAAAGGCTTCAGCCCCAGGCAGGGGGCCTGTAATCTCAGCCCCATTGCCCAAGGCTGAAGCCCTCAGGCTTGGGCCCCAGACAGTGGGGCGCAGGCTTCGGCCCCTGGCCCCAGCAAATCTAAAGTAGCCCTGGCGACCCACGGTTTGAGAACCACTGCAAGGTAGATCCCAGGCAGATGGCCTGTAGGAAGATTGGGGAAGAGCCACCAGGAGTGAGAGGCGCTGACTGACAGCCCCTGGGTCAGGGGAAGGGACTAGTTTGCGATGTGGAATTTGTTACCAGTTTTACATGAAACCCTGCGAAGAAGGGCCTGAACCAGACAGCGGGCAGTGCCCCTAAGGCTGGGTGGACAGGCCAGCAGCCTCCGTGCAGGTTAGCCAGTACATCCTCACAACACCCTCCTGGGGAAATAGCATACCTGTCTTCCAGAAGGGCAAGTCACTGAGGGCTTGATCTTGCAAGGCGCTGAGCCCCCTTTCCCCTATGGGACACGTAGCCCACTGAGTTCTTCCGCTGTAGCCCCAGTGCAGAGGTGAGGGCTGGAAGTGGAGGTCTGGGGAGGGAATTGGAGGAGGAGATTAAGGTCTCTGGGTGCATAGGATAATGAGCCCTTAGTAATCAGAGACCTCTGCTGTTAAACCCGGCTGAGGGGTGGGCATTGGCAGTGTGTGGATTAGCAAGGCTTTCCAGTATAAACCACTCTTTAAAGCTGTGGACTCCGTTACCTCCCCAGCCAGGCAGGTGCTCTGCCTCTGCTCCTCACCCAGCCTGATCTATGGTCCCCCTCAAATGCTCATGTTCGTCCCTCCTTACTCCTTTACCATAGACCCAATGACTGGGAAGGAGGGGAGGGGGAGCACTTGTGGGGTGCAGAAGGCTAGAGGGAGGGGCAGTAGTGGATCCCTGCCACCTCCACCCAACGCTGCTCCCATTTCTAGCCCTCTGAGGAGCTCAGAAAGGAAGGGTGCTTTCTCCTGTTCTGAGGAAGCCTCTTCTATTCCTGCTGGCAGGATTTCCCATGGATCCTGGCAGATGAGCAGGACGTGCACATGCATGACCCCCGGCTAATCCCTCTGAAGACCATGACGTCGGATATCTTAAAGGTGAGCAGAGCGCTCTAGCCCAGGCTGGCATGAGCGTTACTTCAATCCATGCAAACTCCCCGGGGTGAGGTGAATCTGTCCCCCACTGCCGTCATCTACAGGGCAACGGCTTAGCGCTGCTGTGAAGTATCTTACCCCAGGAGGAGCCGCTGGTACTGAGTGCACTGAGCCCAGGCAAGCTTGGAAGGGCAGGACTTCCCCATCTCAAGTATGAAACCGGTTTGTGGCAGGATGCCCTGACCCCATTATCCCATCACCAGAAAGTTCAGCCTGGCCCAGACCATCTACGTGTACAGGGGCTGGGGAGTGAGGTGCCCAATGGGCAAGCCAAAGAACACCCAACCCTGCTCGTCGGAGGTGGGAGAGGCCACGCCACAGCCACTGCTGGAGGGCTGGGTTGTAGCTCCTGTCTGTCAACGCTGTGTGTTTGAGTGGAACCCCTGCCCACAAACAGTTGGATTGTGAGGGGCTGAGCACCTCTGGGAAATGTGCCCAGAATTCCCCTTGGGAACTGTGCTCTTGAAGGACTGGGCCCTAGAGCAAGAATAAATCCCTGGACTGAATTTCATGGAGGTGAATCCTGCTCCACAGCACCAGTTTACACCATCTCATGCAAATAGACTCCGATCACAGGTGCAAGCTATGGAGAAGACCCAGTGGATTAAGTTTGGTTTTCCCCCTCTACAGTACAGTTCCCTATAGAAGATATTAAACCAATACTGCAGGGGCTACTACACTCACCCTTTCTGAACCCCTTCTGTTACTCTCTTCTAGATGCAGCTTTACGTAGAAGAAAGAGCCCACAAAGGTACCTGATGCCGACTCTTCCCATCACCTTCAACCTTGTCCAAGGCTCAGATCTTCCAGAGGAATCCGGTGTCTTCTAGGGGGATGCAACTTATCTTGTTAACAGGTGCTTCTTCAGCTGGCCTCCTGAGTGACTTCATGTCCATTGAGCAGCCCCCCACAGCCAGGCTGCCTATGGGTTTAAAGTGCTCTTACCGCTATATATAGAACTGACTCCTACATGTGAACAGGCTGTGTGGGGTGTGTGTGTGTGTGTGTGTGTGTTACAGCAAATCCACAGATGCAAGACGTGAGGGATGTAATGTAAACTGCAAGTGGGAATCAGTACTTCTCACTAGCTCTTTATGATCCCGCTTTAACCCTTTATAGGGCAGCTCAATTGCACATTGGTACTTGTATGTGAACGTCCATTTTGTGTACGTACCTCTGAGCCTCCAGCTGGATAACTTGGGCGTGTTCTGTGGGAAGCCTAAGCTCGTGTGACTCCACCGAAATCGCTCGACTTACAGCTGGGATGAGTGGGGCCTTATCTACAATGTGTGTGTCCACTGTGAGTGAGTGATCTGTAGAGCTGTCAATAAATACTGAGCGAGTTCTACCATCGCGGAGCTAGCCTGAATTGTGTCAAAGGCCGTGTGGTAGATGCACAGGCCTGTACTGGTCAGAACCATTTCACTCTGTGACCAAGTATCACTGGCCCCATTGCACGCAGTGGACTTGCTCTCTCTTCATTTTCAGCGTTAGACACAAGTGATGGCCCCATGGTTCCATGGGCAAGATCTAGGAGGGGTGGAGAACGTCCCCTGGATTCCTTTGGAGTCCCAGTCTCCCCTGGTACACTTACATCTCCAGGGGGAGAGGGATCCAGCCCTCCGATCCCCTGGATCCCCAGGAAACTAGGGCTGTACACACAAGGTGCTGGGCCTCCCTCTGCCACCCCTGTCTACATCACAGACGTGCTGCCACCACTCAGGCTTCTCTCAAGGAGAGGAGGCTCCCATGGCAAAGGTAATACAGCACCAGCCTCTTGCCTCTCAATGAAGGGTCTCCACGCCATCCTGTGGGGGAAACAATAGGCAGGTGCATTGTCCATGCAGCATAGACCCATCTCCTGCTCAGCCCCCCCCCCCAGTCAGGGCCCTCTTTGATGTGCAGTGCTGTTACGCTGCAAGCTGAGGCCAGAGCTGGAGTTTGTTTGAGGGAGGGGTTTTGCAAAAAGCACTTGAAGTTGTTCCACTCTATTACCATTGAAATTTATGGCAAAACTCCCCTTGACTTTCCTGGGAGCAGTGGTAGAGTGGGGTGGGGGGTTTCACTGAAGTCGATACAACACCCTTTAGAAAAAACAGGGTTGCAGAAGGCCTCAAAGTAGTAGAATCTCGTAGTACTGGTGAGGGTAGAAAAAGGAAGAGCATCGTTTGCCTATTGGCTTCTAGACGGTGTTGGCAAGGCTGGCACAAACACCCTTGATGACAAATCAGTGAGATGGCCAGCATGGAATCACCCGCTGCCCTACACCCAGTGTCAGAGAGCAGAACTCCATTAGACAAAGAAAAGAAATTGACTAGGAATATACATATCACTTTATTCATTCCTATTGGCCAGCCAGTAGCATAAGCACTTCAGGGGTAAGGCAGACAGTTTATGAAGAGAAAAATAACCCTCTTCCCCACCCCACCCCCCAACTCCCTTTCCTTGGTCCTAGGATCACCCTGCACCTTCCCTCTATCCACACACGAAAGCAATACTGCCCAGGACTAGTGTACAGAGAGAGGATTCTCTGGAGCTAGAACCTGGTCTTTACTTAGTCAATCTGCAGCTGTCAGGACCACCCAAGGCTGAAATCAGCGTCTAGTTTCTTTCCAAGCTGTAGGAAACATGGCAAAGTGACATACAGGGGAAAGAGGGCTTAGGTCCAGGGGGTTGTTTTTGTTTTCAGCGTACAAAAGAGGCCTGGCAGTTTTTTGTTGTTGCTTTACACACTACACACTGGAGTCTCACCTTATTTTCCAGAGAAGCTTCTGTGGCTGCCTGGAGAACCCAGCTGTTTGATGAGCGATACCAAGAAAGCAATGTAATTCAGACTACTTAGAACTGGTTTACATCTCTAACTCCTGTGCCCAATGAACCATTGGAAGCAAAGCCCCTGAAAGATTCAAAACAACCCTAACTCCTATGTGAGAAGGGAGAGAGAGCTCATGTTTCAAAGCAAAGTGCTCCAATAAAAAGACTTGAAAATCCTGACATTAAAGTAGGGAAAACAACAAAGGTCCCTGTCCCCACATGGTCCCTTCAGGCCTTAACCACAGACCATAACCGCTCTGGGTCTCCTTCATCGCCACCCTGGTTTATTGTATTTTATGTTTACAGTGAGCCGGCAGCATCCCCCTTTGCTTCTGGCTCAGGGTACAGTAGTAGCCGTAGCCAGTTCTGCCTTCCTCCAGGCTCCCCCTCTTCCTTCCTGTCTGCTTCTAGGGGTGTAACTGCTGGGGAGACTTCCACCCAAGCCCCGCAGCTGTCCCACCACTCAGTTAACTGGCCTCGTCTGCCAAGAGCCTGCTTTTCAATCCAAGCTCAATTAGGGTGAACAGGGGAGGAGATGAGGGACAGAGTGCTGAGTTAGCCATGCCTTTCAGAAGAGGCCGATTCCTTAGTTGGCAGTAGCCCCGGAGCACATTCCCTGCTCTGAGAAAGACACTCGGCTGCTTGGCCTGGCTGATGTCCCTGGTGCGAGATGCATGAGGTTAATATGGAGTCCCAGGGAAGACAAGTCATTTCAGAGGGCAGAGCTTGTAGGAGGCTTGGTGTTACCCAGGAGCACTTGCTCTTCAGACTCCAGCCAGGATATGAAAATACAGTCACGGAGAGGCTGGGGACAGCAAAACCAAAAGCTGACACCAGCCCACGTCTGACCTGGCAGAGCTCACGCAGATCACCAAGTGCTACGAGCGGCCTTCTGATTCCAGGGCCCCGAGCCGGAGTCTGCCTCGTGGCCTCTCTATGGTGACCTCCCTGGCTCAATGGTGATGCTGCTGTTCGTCACTCTGCACCCATACCATCCCGCCCAGTACTGCGTGTCCTGTCCTCCGTGTTCAAACAAGATGTGACGAACTCCAGCCTTGTAGTTGCGGAAGGTGTAAGAGATCTGAGAGGTAAGAAAGGGAGAAAAAATCATTCATTTTGCCTGATGAACTCAGCCCCAGTCCTGTGACTGTGAGTATGTCTGTACCGCAAAAATCTCAACACTAAGCCGAGGCAGCCAGTCTCGGGCAGGTCAGCCCGGCCCGACCAGAGGGTGGGTCTCAGAGCCCGGGCTCCAGCCCAAACAGGCTATTTTTAGCCCCGTAGCACGAGCCTGGGTCAGTTGACCCAGGCTTTGAGAGGTGCTGCTACAGGGTGGTGTTTTGTTTTTGTTTTAAACAGTGTAGGCATCCCCTATGGTAAAGTAAGAGCTCTGGCCTTGTGAAGAGCTCATGGACATCCTCTCTGGGCTGGAAGAGGGGAAGAGAGAAAGGCTTGCGTTGCTCTATACGGAAGGCCAGAAAAGGTTAAACTAAAGTTCCACATTAAAAATCCAGGCCCCGTCTAGCCTGGAAGCCTCCTTGATATCTATAGTCGGATACTAAAGACCTCAAGTCCTCCCACATTCAGTTCACCGTGGCAGTGGCTATGTGGTGCAGACGGGCCTGGGGTGTTTAACCACTGTGTTATCCTACCCATGGCACTGTTAAATCAGGACCTTGAGCATCCACTCATGCTACTGCAGGGGAAGAATCATCACTTGATGTTTTCAAACCAGTTGCAGTGATTTTGACGCATCTTCCATTAAATCACCGAGGCCTGGTCTATGCTACTAGGTTTAGGCTTATGGTGTGCACAAACCACTGCCTATCATGCTGGCCAATACCGTCTCATTGTTTCCCTATGCTGCCCCTCTGTTCTCTGTCTTGTAGTAGATTGGCTGCTCTGTGGGGCAAGGCCTGTCCTCTTGTTCTGAGTTTGCATCACACCTAATGCAAAGGTCCTGGTCCTTGACTCAGGCTCTGAGGCACCGTTGCAACAACTAATGATAATGATTTCCTAGCAAAACTCGGCTTCTGTCGGCACAGCCGTGCACACGTCTACACTCAAATCTGAGTCCTGCCGCACAAACCTGCACTCCTGCCAGTGAAATTACACCAGTTTGAGTGACATGAGCCCCTCCACCTGGACAGTGTGGATGCTGTATTAGCTATACGGGTACCAAGAGTCCTCCAGCAACAGGCCCATGATGCCACGGTCTCGGCGGCAGCGACCGCTCTGCTCCACGTGTTGAACGCTGCGGTGACTGGAAGCCTGCCCCCCTTTAAGCTCACCTTTGCTGATAAACCACTTTAGGGGAGACAAAGCCTGAGGCGAACGTCACTGCACCAGTTACACTGGCGTCACGTTTAGAAGGTTTATCCTCCCTCCCCCCGCCGCACTGAGAAAACATTGAAATAAAGTGAGCACCCACAAAATGCCGCCTCTAAGAGCTACCCTCTATTCTGCCGGGAAAATCAATCTTCCTGCTATGTCTGAAGTTAAAAAAAGCAAGCAGAGAAACATCCCTCCACCCCCCCTTCCGCACTTTAGCTAAGTCATACAAAGCACACACCCAATTTCTGAATCCTTTTCCAGTCACCTTTATCAGTCACCAATCAAACTTCCCTTCTTTTTCTGACAGAGCCGCTTCCCCTCTCACTCAGGGCCAGCTGCTGCTTAGCAACGACGCCTCTGGCGGCCGCCTCTCCCATATTAAATAACGTTGAGGCCCACAGCAGGCACTTGAAAATACTTTCAGGAAAGAGGAACATCACAGGCCTTAAAGCAAAGGGTGCAGGGAACTCAGATGCAAAAGGAACTACTGGCATTTGACTCAGCTTGGCTTTTCTATACAAACAACAAATTGCTTTGACAAAAAACTGATAGCCAGCCCAGCTGGCCAGGGAGGATTTGGAAATGTCAGTGCAATAGCTAGTTGTTAGCCAACAGTTCCCAGCAGCATGAGCAACCCAAACAGGAAGAACTAAGCCTGAAAGTGAAACTAAACTTGATTCTCAGCTTGCACCGTGTAGAAAACCAATGATGTTACCGAGAGGGGAATACAGATCAATTTTCAAAGCTTTTCAGTTCATATTTGATGGGTGATTTGGGCCAGACATAGAAATATGTTTACAGTGTGATTATTGTTAAGCTAAATTCCTGTAGTGGCAGGTTTATTTGAAAATATTTGGATTTTAAGTTTTCTCCTGTAAGCCTTGCAAACCAAGCAAACAAAAAGTTTTGCTAAAGCAGGAGACTGAAGTGAAACTACGCCGGTTTAGCTTCACATTCGCCATGCTGAAAAATAAACAAACTAGAACAGGAATAGGCACATTCAATGTTTAAAGTGCTCAGGTTTTAATAGTGGAGTTAGCAACAGGCAGGACATTTGTTTAAAACATAAAATAAAAATGATTCCTCTGACAATGGCATTATCTACACTGGGAACTACTCTGATTTCAATCAGTTGTGGCCAGCAGCCAGCCCACATGCTCAAGAGCAAACCCTCCTATACACAAGGAAAGTTGCAAAGTCAGGGCTAATACACAGAACAGACAAGGCCAGTGTCCCTTAAATTTGGGGTTTATCTACACGAGCCAATCGTTCCAGTATAACTTGAGGTGCTGGGTTACAGTGGTGTGCTCTTCTTCTGGTTTAAGAGTGGCTTATCTGTTTGGTTTAATTAGATTAGGAACAGGTTTGAAACAAACCAAAATCGTGTCTACACAGTGTCTTGTACCAGTTTAACTATAATGGTTTAAGAGCCAATTCAAAATTATACTGGTGCAACTTTCTTGTTTAGACAAGTCCCTTGAAACCTCATGTTAAAGTTGGTTCAGGTTTCCGAAGTAACTTTGCTCCAGTCTCAGTCAAAAGAATGGCCATACAAAGCACAAGGGACCTGACTGGTCATGTTCTCTATTCGCTTTGCATTTATTTCAACCCTCCATGTTGAAACAGATGTGGGACGTGCTGAGCATCTGCGACCCCCACTGAACCCAGCTCACTCTCTCACAGCTGTGTTGCTTCTGCAGAGCCACTAAGGAATAACTTTAGCGCTGGAGGCCCAGAGAGAGCAGATGTGCTGGGGAAGGAGGACCCATTGTTATCCAGCCATTGTTCAGATTCGAGTCATGTGTTAAAACCACAGCACTGATCTAAAGCTGCTGCCCACACAGCTAGTCTCTGGATTCCTCACCTCTCTCCACTTTGCATCACTCCATTGCTCTATGACCACTGGTTCCGGACAGAACTCGTTAAGGACGATGTAGTCTGCAGAGAGCAGCTTCACACAGAGTTCATAACGGCACCCACAGTCAAACCTAGCAGCATACCTGGAGAGACAGTGAGAGGTCAGGCACTGGGAAGATGCACACACCTGCCGGGACAGTCACCGTTCTGGGGATGCCTGTTGCCAGAGACAAGCCATCCCTGCTCTTGGCATGGCAGGGGTTAGTCATTTTATACAGGGGCTCGGAAATGGAACTGGAGCTAAGCTGAAGCCTGCCCGTGGGATGGGAAAGCCAGTTTGCACCCCTTATCTGTAATGGCATCTCCAGTTCTGTAGTAACCCGAAGGTGGTATTACTGTTACCTAGCATTCTTCTTCAGAGTACCTCAAAGAGCTGTACAGATGGGGAGTATCATCATGCCTTGGCGGGGAAACTGAGTCATGTGAGCCAGTGACAGAATTCTGGAGTCCTGGCTCTGTGACTTTCAACACTAGATCATGATCCCTTCCAGACTCAGGAACAGAACCCAAGTCTGACTTGTTCTTTATTAAATCATTACAGTCCCCGGAGGTAGAGTCAAAGAACTCCACTGATGTAGTCCCAGCTGAAATCCAGAGTTGCCCTAGCATATGCCGAGAGTCTAATTTTGAATGCGCACACTCACCAGTCCTTGACTACAATATCAGGCCGTATTTCATCCATCAGCTGGTCCCAGTAACCCTCTTTCTTTAGGTCAATGAGCTGAGACTTTAGACACTGCCTGGGAACAGATCATGTAAGTTTTTAGCATCACATGCAACTTGTATGTGCCTATTTCCTCGTCTCTCCACTGGAGTTTAGTGGTTCCCTTTAGTTAAAGCCCAGGGCTCACCCCAGATTAGTAACACCCCGGTACTGTGCGGGACATGCTGCTAGCCCAGAGAGCACATGGTGTCAAGGATGCAGCAGCAGACATCCTGCGCACTCAACAGCAGCTAATCCTCACCTTTGACCCCTACTCAACTGTTTTCATCGTGGGTCGCAGGAACCAGACACACACTCAGAGCTTGAATCTGATTATCCCACAGGTTTGGAACAAACCCGTTCAGTTTTACTGGCAAAGGACTGCGAAGAAAGCTGATGTCTAGGTTATACCCCATTTACCAAACCTTTACACAAGCTGTTTGGTCAATGCTTATATCAGAAGAGAAACAAAAATCCGAGCTGTGAGGAGCTTCCCGTCTCCGCTAAAAAGCTCTACTGGTTTTGTATCATTGGGGGCCCTTGAGATGTTGCCTGGGTGGCAATATGCCTCATAAGAGGGCACATAGGACGCTCCCTCTGTATCTCCACAAGGTAACTAGTTACTTCTTCCTCTTTCTATTCCTGGACCCAGCTCCACCCGCCTGCATGGAGTTCGGTGTGTTCTCAAACTGCCAGGGGGCCCTCTTCCCTCCAGGCCCGGCTTCAGAGCACGAGATCTGATTCTTACCCATAAGAGGTGACAAAGTATTTGCGCACGTGTGGGCTGGGAAAGTCTGTCCCGTGTGGCCCAGGCAGATCCTCGACTTTCCATTCATCTCCCTCGTTTGGATCCAGATTCCAGGACTGAAAGCTCTCTAGGGAGGGATCACAAAGGGGACAGTGAGGCCACCCAACCAGCAGACGGAGGGTTAATCCCCAAAAGGGAGAGCAGAAGGGTCTGAGAACCTGAAGTTTTCATTTTAAAAAGCGAGTTGCGGGGTGGGAGGTGGCAGCTTTGTCCTAGGGATATTACAGCAGCCTGGGAATCCTTTCCTAGTGATTTCAAGGTGTATCTAGTTTCCCTATTGCAGAGTCTCCTTGGGCCTAATCTATGCTACCCATTTCTTCCCTGGGTGAGCCTGGCGGTCAGCCAGCCCTATCCGTAACAGCACCATGCAGCAAAGACCAGGCACCCCAGCAAACTGATGTGCTGCCACCACTTTACATCAGCCTTGTACGAAAGGCTCCCGCTGCACACTTCCACAGGAGGCCGCGAGCCGGCCCAAGAGCGACCTAGGTAACAATTCCCCACTGCTCAGCTGCACTGGGGCCACCGCAGGCTGGGGGGCGGGAAGTGGAGGGGCCAAGGGTGGATCAGACTGCAGCAGCCGGTGATTTTACCACCATGTCATTTAAACTGGCTACACACTTTCATGCTGCCGAAGCCTGCCTACGCTGGAGATTTGTTCTGGTTCCACCCCTAGGTGTAGCTGCACCAGTGCTACCCTTCAGGCTCCACGGGTGCAGCTTTACCAGCCTATGCTAATGGTTGCACCAGCACAGCTAAATCAGTAGCCAAACACAGATGGCTGTAGCCAGGGCAAATCCACAGCGTAGGCGAGGCCCGAAAGATTAGACCTTGGGCAAGGCTATGAACTGACCATCCTCCTAGCTGCTGGGGAATTCCCCGCCCACCGCCACTTTCCGATAAAAAGGAACAAACCTTCAGCACAAGGATTTTTGAGTAAGTTTTTCTTCAGGCTGCAGAGGACATAGAAGATCTTCCAGTCCTTGATAGTCTTGTCCCACTTCTCATGATAAAAGCCCTCCCGCTGGCACTTGCGTTTCCACACCGTGGCTAAGTTGACCACATCCCGCCACAGGACACAGACAAGCCGGCAGTTACAGATCAGCTCCCGGGCGGGGACCAGGGAAAAGAGTTCCACCAGGACATCTTCGGGCAGGTCACCGATGTTCGCCATCTTTCTGTGGGCCCAGGGCTCCAGCAGCCTGTAACGCAGGCCAGGGAGAGAGTCACCAGGAACGTTCTGCCCAGAAAGGGTGGGAACACAACAAGCAGAGCAGGTCTCCCATTGAATCATGGTGGGAGGGGAGGGAATGGAAGGAGAAGGAAAGGGAGTTAGGACCTGGAAGTCAGATTTATAAAGCACTGCACTAGGCAGACATCCCAGAGTGCTGCACTGAGGCTGTGGCTACACTGGCAAAAATGGGACCCGACAGCCACCAATGTCTCTTACCAAGGGTGAATTGTGGTCCCATTTATGCAAAGCTCTTAAGGCCAGATGTTTAGGTGTATCAAATGCAGATGGGGCTTAGCTGGATGCGTGAGTCTCTATGGGAGTCAGGCACCTAACCTGCGTAAGCGATTCTGAAAATCCCCATAGGCATCTATCTACGTCTTTAGGCGCCTACATATTTCTGAAAATCTGGCCCTTAGGCTCCCTCTACACAGGACTTTGAACCATGTGCTAAAGCTAGGGTGACCAGACAGCAAGTGTGAAAAATCGGGACGGGGGTGGGGGGTAAAAGGCGCCTACGTAAGACAAAGCCCCAAATAATGGGACAGTCCCTATACAATCAGGACATCTGGTCACCCTAGCTAAACCGAAAGCTAAACTCCATTCAAACACAGATCCATTCAAACACGTTTCCAATTTGTGTTGGTCAACTGCAGATTGACAGGGCCTAGCTGATCCCAAGACGCATGGCCAGGCATCTCCCTGGTGGGATTTGCCGCTGTGTAGGAGAAACCTTGTGCAAATGGGTCCTGAGCTGGGCTGCCTCTGCCTATGCATGCCCCACCCATGTGTGGGCGTCAGTCAATATTCAATGCTAGTCACCCACGTCCTCCAGTCAAACAGATTCACTTTGCCCTTTCCCATGTCACAAATCCTGCTTATCTTCCCAGCCCAGACAGGAGATCCTGCACCCCATCTACACATGCATGGGCCCTACGATGGCCACTGAGGTTACCACCTAGTGGGTATTTGACCAGCCTGGCCTTTTTTTTTTTTTTAATGGACTTGCCAGTTGCCAGAAAAATAATTTAATCTGCCATTGTGTTTTTTTTTATGTGGGTCTAAAGATTTGCATTATTCTCACAACACACTGAGACAGCCAATGTTAAAAGTTTCTGCGTCCAACTGAAGATAACGGGCAGGAGTGGGAACATTGCAGTAAGTGATAACAGCTGAAAAGACAGCAGCTGTCTGCTCACCAACACGCAAGCGAGTCTGAGTCATACAGAGACATGCAATGTTATCTATATGGGATCTCTCTCCAGATACTATAGGGAGCGGTTCAAGGGTTGGGGTGCGAAGTTGCCTTGTGGTTGGGGCTGTGGCAGGCTTGCCTTGGGGAGGGGTGGAGAGGGGGAGATCTGTTTTGTTTTTGGTTTTTTTTTTTTTTTTTTTTTTTGCTATTTCCAAGCTAGCTAACACTAGTTGCCACCTGG